ATTTATTATTATCAATAATAATAATTTGTTATTAATAATAATGTATTAATTATTATTAATAATGTATTAATTATTATTAATAATAATGTATTATCTAGAACATGGCCCTATAGCCCGAAAAAACCCACAAGAACCTAGTGATTCCAGCCATGAAAGCCTTCGACAACAATGTATTATTAATAATTTAATAATAATAATAATAATAATAATAATAATAATAATAATGGGTTGTAGGTTTTTTCGGGCAATAATAATAATAATAATAATAATAATAATAATAATAATGGGTTGTAGGTTTTTTTGGGCAATAATAATAATAATAATAATAATAATAATAATAATAAATTTATTTGTAGAATGCCTCCCCGAAGCAACTCATAGCGGTTCCCAACATATATGGCAAACATTCAATGAATTTTATTTATTACTTGCCTCTCCCTTTGGCTGCAGTAATAAAACAATTGGCAAGTATTACTCCATTGATGCTGAACAAGTTACTTTCAGCTATATGACTTACTTAACCTACCAATGGTACACAAAGATGTCTTAGGACTGATCAATCCCATGTGTTTTATAATCTGTGATACAACCATCTGTAACCCATTTATCTTGATATTTAAGTGAATACTGTTCAAACAAATAACTATCCAGGCACACACGTGCATTATGAATTTGAAATCCCACCAGAGGAGGGATTGGCAGGGTGTGTATACGTGAAGCTTTATCTCACTTACCATGCTCTTTTCAGTTGCAAGACCTCTGTAACTCACATTTTATTTTCTGAAGAGTTGATTTTTAAGACTATTGTTCCCCAAGTCTCTCAACAAGCACAGAATTGATTAGCTATGGGTTGTTGTAGGTTTTCCGGGCTATATGGCCATGTTCTAGAGGCATTTTCTCCTGACGTTTCGCCTGCATCTATGGCAAGCATCCTCAGAGGTCTGTTGGAAGTAGGAAAATGGGTTTTATATATCTGTGAAAAGACCAGGGTGGGACAAAGGACTTTTGACTACTGGAGCTAGGTGTGAATGTTTCAAGGTGGTCAGTTGAAAGGTGGTCAGTTGAAACATTCACACCTAGCTCCAGCAGACAAAAGTCCTTTGTCCCACCCTGGTCTTTCCACAGATATATCAAACCCATTTTCCTACTTCCAACAGACCTCACTACCTCTGAGGATGCTTGCCACAGATGCAGGCGAAACGTCAGGAGAAAATGCCTCTAGAACATGTCCATATAGCCCGGAAAACCTACAACAACCCAGTGATTCCAGCCATGAAAGCCTTCGACAATACATTGACTAGCTTTATTTGTCATGTGCTATTGCACAACGAAAATACATGCCTTCCCCTGCACACACTACAAAACAACACATCCATCTCTCTCCACACACACACTCCACCACCACCACAGAGCCCCAAATGCCACATCAGTGTGAAACCACAGAGTTCAAGAGCCAGAACTAATTGGAGAATTCTGGGAATTCTAATGGGGAAATCTAGGAGCTGTTTTCCGAAGCAGTAACTTTTCCACTTTGTTGTTGTTGTTCTTAGAAGTTGGGTTTGTAGAATTTAAAGTTGGCTTTTGCACCCATAAATACATTCTATGTATTTAACTTTCAGTTAAATAATAACAGCAAAAATAGCAACTAATAAATATATGGAAAAGAACAGCAGAAGTTAAAGTTAGAATGATATAAAAATAAATTTCCTCTATAGGTTTAATCAAGGAAGCCAAGACCTGGAGTCTGAAAAGGGCTGTTGATGCCAGGGTGCCTTGAAAGTCACACATTCATGGGGTCACCATAAGTTAAAGTTAAGGAGCTGGGCATGTTTAGCCTGCAGAAGAGAAGGCTGAGAGGAGATATGATAGCCATGTATAAATATGTGAGAGGAAGCCACAGGGAGGAGGGAGCAAGCTTGTTTTCTGCTTCCTTGGAGACTAGGACGCGGAACAATGGCTTCAAACTACAAGAAAGGAGATTCCATCTGAACATGAGGAAGAACTTCCTGACTGTGAGAGCCGTTCAGCAGTGGAACTCTCTGCCCCTGAGAGTGGTGGAGGCTCCTTCTTTGGAAGCTTTTAAACAGAGGCTGGATGGCCATCAGGGGTGCTTTGAATGCAATATTCCTGCTTCTTGGCAGGGGGTTGGAATGGATGGCCCAGGAGGTCTCTTCCAATTCTATGATTCTATGATTCAACCTGAAGGCAATTAACTACAGTAACAATCAGCTTAAGCTGCAAAATTCAGATTTTTGGAGCAAACAGTGGTGTTGAGTTGCCTCACGAGAAATACACACACACATACGTATTGAAGTATTGAGCGTACTTTGCTAGGTGGAGCCTCTGGTGGTGCAATGGGTTGAACCCTTGTGTCGGCAGGACTGCTGACCAAAAGGTCAGCAGTTTGAATCCAGGGAGCAGGGTGAGCTTCCATCTGCCAACTCCAGCTTATCATGTGGGGACATGAGAGAAGCCTCCCACAGGATGGTAAAACATCCAAGTGTTCCCTGGGCAACGTCCTTGCAGACAGCCAATTCTTTCACACCAGAAGCGACTTGCAGTTTCTCAAGTCGCTCCTGACACACCAAAAAAACTTTGTTAGGTAAATCTGGAGTAAGTATGTTTACACAACACGTAGTCAAGTAAGCACTCTATCTGGCACACAAAGTTGTTCATCAGCAATAATACACTGTGGAAGATCCCTTTGAGAGAAGCAAATTTTGTTTATTCTGTTTCTGCTTCTTCTCTTAACTTCCTGATATTGATCTTCCATTAAAGTAGTGTTTCTCAACCTTCTTAATGCGGTGACCCCTTAATACAGTTTCTCATGTTGTGGTGACCCCCAACCATAACATTATTTTCATTGCTACTTCATAACTGTCATTTTGCTCCTGTTATGAATCGTAATGTAAATGTCTGATATGCAGGATATATTTTTATTCACTGGACTAAATTTGGCACAAATACCCAATACTTCCAAATTTGAATACTGGTAGGGTGGGGGGGGGGTAATTTATTTTGTCATTTGAGAGTTGTAGTTGTTGAGATTTATAGTTAACCTACCATCGAAGAGCATTCCGAACTCCACCAACAATGGAATTGAACTAAACTTGGCACACAGAACTCCCTTACCAACTGAAAATACTGGAAGCCTTTGGAGGACATTGACCTTGAGTTCTGGAGTTGTAGTTCACCTACATCCAGAGAGCACTGTGGGGTCAAACAATTATTGATCTGGACCAAACTTGGCATGAATACTCGATATGCCCAAATGTGAGCATGAAGTTTGGGGAAAATAGACCTTGACATTTGAGAGTTGTAGTTGCTTGGATTTATAGTTCACCTACAATCAAAGAGCATTCTGAACCCCACCAATGACAGAATTGGGGCAAACTCACCACACAGAGCCCCCATATGACCAACAGAAAATACTGTGTTTTCTGATGGTCTTTGGTGACCCCTCTGATACACCCTCGCAACCCCCCCCCCCCCAGGGGTCCCAACCCCCAGGTTGACAAACTGTATTAAAGGTTTCTGTTACCAACAAAAAACACATAGAGGTGTTAAGCTGGAAACTTTGGACAAAAATCTGAACAGGAGGAAGATCTCAAAGCTTTGGACAAAAATCTCAAAAACAATTAACATGGATTGCCAGTCAATTTCTCAGTTTGATAAAGAACTATTTTGAACCAGCCATCTCTATACTCTTCGGAAGAAGACAGTCGTAAGGGCTCCCCTATCATTCCTCATTCTGATCAGCCATATAACCAAAGGATTCAGGCTTTCAGAAAGTAACTTTTCTAAGTTTTAAAAATCACGATCTCTTCAATGTATAAGCAGAGCTTGCTGGACTTTACAAGAAGATCCTCTCCAGTTTCTCAGAAATTTATTTATTTATTTATTTATTTGTTTGTTTATTTATTTATTTATTTATTTGCTGCATTTATATACTGTCCTTCTCAGCCCACAGGTGACTCGGGACGGTTTACAGTTGGTAGCAAGACCATAAAATACAATTTCAATACAATAAAACAATTTTATTTATTTATTATTTCATATATTTATATCCCGCCCTTCTCCCCACAAGGGGGACTCAGCCCGGCCTCACGTGAGCATCAGAGGATGTTAACAACATAAATACCATAAAAACTACAACTCACAATAAAATCATCTTAAAACATTGTACATCATCAATAAAAGTAACAATAAATTAATAGATTAACGTGCTAGTAAAACCAAGCCGAGCTGGGAGAAACCATGTGGCAAAAATCCAAATTTCCTTTTCCTATATTATTATTATTATTATTATTATTATTATTGAATAATAAAACCATAACAGAATCAATAAAATCAGTAAAAACACGTGTCATTAGGCTCTCCTCATTAAAAACATCATCCAATCACATCAGAGATAAAGGGAGAGAGTAGATGGATGGATGGATAAAAATAGATGGACTGATCAACTGATTGGCCAAACTGATTGACAGATGGGAGGAGAAACAAAATGCTCAGCTGAAATGTTTTTAATTTCAATGCCAAAAGTTTTCATTCTACTTTTATGCTGACTAGGCTAGCAAGAGAAACAGATAAAATGACGTTGAATAAGAAACAATATGGAAAAACAAAAACTAGAATTGATAGATTAATTCAGGTCTGGATACACTGGTCTGCAATTTAGCCCCGACAAGAAAAGACACACTGATGCAACGGGATTTTTGTTTATCCACCATTCAGCAACTGATTCAATGAATCTATTCTAATTTGGACTATTAAGACACAGACCTATTACTGCAGACTTCTGTTTATCATTGTCAACACCACCAGACCATAGCATGGGCTACTGGGTCTACACACATGCACATCTTTTAGGAACCGTTCCTCAGCACACCTTTTGGAACGATTCCCTTCTCTCCTTGACACCACCTCTTCCCCACTTGTTCATTTCCCTTCCACACATATGATGACTATATTTGCCAGCCCTGTTCAAACATAGGAGGTACCTTTGTTGCTGAAGTAAGGCCCCCAATTTCCGGTGTCCCCCTGAGATGAGCCAGAGGCCCAAAGCGCCAGGACCAAAAAGGCAGCGATGCTTCTCCAGCCTTGCTCCATGCTGGTGGGCTTACTTGATGGTGGGCGGTCTTCCTGCCAGAGCGTCTTTCCACCTGCCTTCTGAGTCTGCATCTGGCTCTGTGGGAGCTGCTGCTTTCCCTTGCTTGGCTCCCCATCTGGAGGCTTTAGATAAGGGGTGGAGCGGGAACAACAAAACGGCTGCAAGAACAGCAACAGCAACTCTGGCAAAAGCTGAAAGAGAGAAGCATAAGGTGGTGAAGCCTCCACCTTTTTTTTTCCAGAAGTGTGGGAAAGGTCTCTTGCTGGTGTCAGCAAGATCAGATGACAGCAGAAACCCCAAAGCCCACATCCTGTGTATTCTTCTTTTCCCCACCTTCAGGGTGGAATGCCAACCTTCGTGCCAGGTTGTTTCGGGTTTCCAAAATGAAATCCAGAAGACAGAAGAAGAGGAATTGATAAATGTGCTGGTTAAGGAGGGGAAAAAACCCCTGATGAAAAGTAGATATGGGTGGTGGAGTTCTTTGGCTATAGGTAAAGGTAAAGATTGTCCCCTGACATTAAGTCCAGTCATGTCTGACTCTGGGGTGTGGTACTCATCTTCATTTCTAAGCCGAGAGCCGGCGTAGTCCGTAGACACCTCCAAGGTCATGTAGCCAGTATGACTGCATGGAGCGCCGTTACCTTCCCACCTGAGTGGTACCTATTGATCTACTCACATTTGCATGTTTTCGAACTGCTAGGTTGGCAGAAGCTAGGGCTGACAGCGGAAGCTCACGCCGCTCCCCGGAATCGAACCTGTGACCTTTCGATCAACAAGCTCAGCAGCTCAGTGCTTTAACCCTCTTTGGCTATAGCACAGTGTAAAATGACTTCTAAGCTGGCCCCACAGAGCATTGTCCTACCATTGTTCAGTTGTGGGTGGCTGCCACATATGCCAGTATGCCTTCTTCCTTATGCAAGCAGTCCCCAAGTTACATACAAGATAGGTTCTGTAGGTTTGTTCTTAAGTTGAATTTGTATGTCAGTTGGAACAAGTACAGTGCAACTCCTGCTAAAAATATACATCTTTTAGCTTTGGATAGCATAAGGAAGGGTAGCAAACACCTATGTGTTTGTTTTGTTGTCTGTGCTGCTCTTCAGAAGATTTCACCTCACTTTCTGTCCCCGGGATTATTGGATTTTGAAAAATGCTTCCTCTTCATCTTGGAAAGAAGTGATGAGCGGAGTGCCACAGGGTCCCGTCCTGGGCCCAGTCCTGTTCAACATCTTTATTAATGACTTAGATGAAGGGTTAGAAGGCAGGAACATCAAGTTTGCAGACGACACCAAATTGGGAGGGAGAGCCAATACTCCAGAGGACAGGAGCAGGATTCAAAACGATCTTAACAGATTAGAGAGATGGGCCAAAACTAACAAAATGAAGTTCAACAGGGACAAATGCAACATACTCCACTTTGGCAGGAGAAACGAAATGCAAAGATACAGAATGGGGGACAATGCCTGGCTTGAGAGCAGTACGTGTGAAAAAGATCTTGGAGTCCTCGTAGACAACAAGTTAAAAATGAGCCAAGAATGTGATGTGGCGGCCAAAAAAGCCAATGGGATTTTGGCCTGCATCAATAGGAGCATAGTGTCTAGATCTATGGAAGTCATGCTACCCCTCTATTCCGCTTTGGTTGGACCACACCTGGAATATTGTGTCCAATTCTGGGCACCACAATTCAAGAGAGATATTGACAAGCTGTCCAGAGGAGGGCGACTAAAATGAGCAAGGGTCTGGAGAACAAGCCCTATGAGGAGCGGCTTAAGGAGCTGGGCATGTTTAGCCTGAAGAAGAGAAAGCTGAGAGGAGATATGATAGCCATGTATAAATATGTGAGGGGAAGTCACAGGGAGGAGGGAGCAAGCTTGTTTTCTGCTTCCTTTGAGACTAGGACGCGGAGCAATGGCTTCAAACTGCAAGAGAGTAGATTCCATCTGAACAGGAGGAAGAACTTCCTGACTGTTAGAGCCGTTCAGCAGTGGAACTCTCTGCCCCGAAGTGTGGTGGAGGCTCCTTCTTTGGAAGCTTTTAAACAGAGGCTGGATGGCCATCTGTCAGGGGTGATTTGAATGCAATATCCCTGCTTCTTGGCAGAATTGGACTGGATGGCCCATGAGGTCTCTTCCAACTCTTTGATTCTATGATTCTATGATTCTATGAAAATGTGTCTTGTTGCGGAAACAAGGATTGGTGATAAAGTTTCAGTGGAGACACCTTTTCCCCCATGATAATACATCTTCCAGGAGTGAATTTTGCTTCCAAGGGCTAGATTTCTCTCACTTCCTGTTATTTATTTATTTGCTACATTTATATACTGCCCCTCTCAGCCCAAGGGCGACTCGGAACGGTTAACAATAGGCAGCAATTCAATGCCAGAGCAGATACAACAAAAGAAGACAATCATTAATACTATAAAATACTAACCGCACTATAAAAACATAAAAGTCATACACAACATTTAAAACATTATCAAAGCGTCTCCGTCTCAAATCATTATCCAGTTGCGTCGTCAGTTGTCCATAATATCATATATTGATGCCATATTCGGGAAGGCCTGTTCGAAAAGCCAGGTTTTCACCATTTTTCGGAAGGACAGGAGGGAGGGGGCTGATCTTATCTCTCTAGGCAGGGCATTCCACAGTTGAGGGGCCACCGCTGAGAAGGCCCTGTCTCTCGTCCCCGCCAGACGCATCTGTGAGGAAGGCGGGAGCGAGAGCAGGGCCTCCCCACAAGATCTTAGCGTTCTAGATGGTTCGTACAGAGAGATATGTTCGGATAGGTAAGTTGGACTGAAACTGTTTAGGGCTTCATAGGCTAAAGCCAGCACTTTGAATTGTGCCCGGAAGCAGATTGGCAGCCAGTGGAGCTGGCTTGCAATCCCTGTTCTTAACCCTGTTCTTAATTATGATGGTTGTAACTCTGGGACTGTCTGTAAGAACATTCATAGAATCATAGAATCAAAGAGTTGGAAGAGACCTCATGGGCCATCCAGTCCAACCCCCTGCCAAGAAGCAGGAATATTGCATTCAAATCACCCCTGACAGATGGTCATCCAGCCTCTGTTTAAAAGCTTCCAAAGAAGGAGCCTCCACCACACTCCGGGACAGAGAGTTCCACTGCTGAACGGCTCTCACAGTCAGGAAGTTCTTCCTAATGTTCAGATGGAATCTCCTTTCTTGTAGTTGGAAGCCATTGTTTCGCGTCCTGGTCTCCAGGGAAGCAGAAAACAAGCTTGCTCCTTCCTCCCTGTGGCTTCTTCAAACTTCTTCCTTGCTAGATTTCAAGAAAATATTGGTACAGTAACCTGTCTTGCTTTGGGGCATGGTTTTCTATTGGGTCCTTCAGCCATAATATTTTTCATCTGGAACACGGTGTACAATTGAGACTAAATTTGTATTGCATGGCCTGTTGTCACTTCTATACATAAACCAGAAATTATGTAGGCGGGCCACTTTAGTGCAAATCCAACTGTGATAGTATATACAAGTATGCACTTTAAAGGATGTTGCAGAAGGAGGTATCCAATAGCTCCTTATGCAATACCCCTCATTTGTATGCACAATATCAGCCAGGTACTGCTCTGTCCTCTTGTGCGCTGATTGGGTGCTAGAGTGTACCCAGGTGGATTATGGGTGTCCTTGAAGTCTCAAAGGAAGAGTAGTAGTCTTATGTTAGAGATAAAGATTGCTCCTTGTTTCTTGGGTGTACAAGATAAAACATAGTCAGATACATCCCACCAGGCATGTAGCTGGGGGGGGGGGCTTGAGGGGCTTCACCCACCCACCCCGAAATTCTCAGGGTGGTCCGCGAGAAGGCCTTACTGGTACATTATTTAAACTGTTATGTTTATTCATATCATGATCACTGTGCTGTCGCACGCTGGGCCTGTACATAAGACTGTAGACAGGACATAAGAATTTGTGTGCCCAACGGGACGCCGGGGCTGCCTCAGATTAAAGGCCTTTGGATTTCCTTAAAACAGAATCTTTAGATTGCTTAAAGGTTCAACAAAGTTCTTTATTAATGAAAACAAACAGGTACTTTAAGGCTTTCTTAACAGCCTATTGGCTCTCTCTCAAGCTTGTCCACAGGGAACAGGCACTATCTTCATAAACTGTCTTTTAACTAATGGGGAAATCCTTAACTTCTAATCTGGCAGTCTGTCTTTGCCTCTGTTGGCGTGGAGCCCCTGCACCCGGTACCAACTGCTTCTGGCTTCCACGAGTGACCCTTACCAAGCAGAGCTTTGTAGACTTCCAGGGGAAAAAAGAGTTCAAGTTTCCGTGATGGCTGACTGAAGTCCTTCAGCAAAGGAGCTGTAGGGCTGTATAACCCCGGCAAGCTGTAGGCTGTATATCTCCCTGGCCAAGCCGTGGGGCTGTATAACCCCGGTCAAGCTGTAGGCTGTATATCTCGGCCAAGCCGTAGAAGACGAAGCTTTCTACAGGAGCTCTTGGTTTTATGTCCTGTGTGAAAGGCTTCTCTGTGTGGACTGAACTCAAAATGGCTCCTATTCCCTCTAAAACCCAAAAAGGGGGGGGACCAGGGAACCTAACTATAATTGACAGGTGGCTTGCCCTATGATTGCAGCCAAAAGAAGCCACCTATCTGCAGAGTCCCTGAAACTTAGGACTATAACAAACATTAAATGCAAAACAAACAAAATTGGAGCTCCTGGTGCAGTTGTACCTGCACAATGCTCAATATATCCCATATGCATGGGGCTATTGGGATAACGATACAAAGGTTTGCTAGTGTAGATCCTCAGCCCCCCTTGAATCAAACTCAGCCCCCCCCCCCCAAATCAAAATCCTGGCTACGGGCCTGCACCCCATGGTTGATTGGTGACCCAGAAATTTGTTTGCCACAGTTATACACTTAGAGAAGGAGCCAGGGAGGAATGAGTTTGGATGCACCACACATACACACACCAAAATATCCACAAGTTTCTTCTCCTGTGAGGCTGCCAATAGTTCAGAAAGAGAAGGGTTGCAGATTTCTCACTGACTGTTCTAACCTCATTTTACATGTGTGGAACAAGTGGAGAGGTGAGCAACAGATTGGCTCTGTTTTGGAACAAAGGCAAGGTGAGATGTCTAGCACTCTCTGGTCCTAGGAGCTCAAAAATAAAACTCCTACGTGTATATACAAAGGGGCTTCTGGC